CATTTATTGCAACTCAACGTAAATGACATCAGGGGGGAACGCTATCTGACGGGCCTATAAACCCCATCAGATACCGTTCCCTCTCCTTAACATGGGGGGAACGGTATCTGATGTTGTGTAAATATCATCAGGCTGCATTACTTCTACTCATGGGTATGAAGTTTTTTAACGGGGCGTTCAGATCTGCTGAGTGTATGAAATTAATAACTGGGGATGTCTAATTCTGAAATCCTGTGTGTTTGGGTTGTTATAGATACTGCAACATCTATCCATCCATCCATCCAGATTTCTCCATATAGGCTAACGTTAACTTTTGATCGCTCACGCTCTCCGTAGTTCCCCTGTGGCGGGAGCACAGGGCGGCTTTTACGCGCCTTCAGCGAGCATGAGCGTTTCCCGTCGCTTGAGCCGTGAATCGTGCCGCCTGCGCTGTGCAGAGATGCAGGGGAAACCGTATCTGATGGGGAAACGCAGCTCGACGTAACACCGGTATTTCCATCTGGAAAACGCTGTTTTGCTGCTGGAGTCCTCCTGACTCTCCATCTCTCTGTGTGTGCTGTACGTTAACACCCGTAACAGCCATTCTCATCCTCTCCTCTCTCATGACATGGCGCGCATGAGTCCTATCATGAAAAAAGGTTAATTGTGCGTCCTGAGTAACGTGCAGTAACGGGGTGTCTGCAATGGTAACTGCGTTATAGTTACAGTCAAAATAATTAGTTAGATTACCTTGTTACTAAAAAAAGGTAACGCCATTAGTAACGCCGTTACTCCCATCACTGCCTTTCAATCTTTAAAAACATGGAGGTGGACCTCATAGTCCCAGTGGATGAACAGCATCTGTGGATTCTTTTTAAATGTTCTAATTAAACTTTGGGTCAGGACTTTTGAGATTATTCAATCTCAGGCTGGATCAAAATTGCATGTTTCCGCTGTCCATAGCGTTCCTTGACAGTGTCGTGTCTAAGTCACCAATTTAGTGCTACTTGGTCCCAATGGAATTTCCCATTGGGAACCTGCTAGCACTAAGTTGCTAACTGGTTAGCATTTTAGTGGTACTTGGTCCCAATGGAATTTCCCATTGGGAACCTGCTAGCACTAAGTTGCTAACTGGTTAGCAAGATGCTTCGAAGAAACCGGCCACACCCAAACGTGCTTGTGAACCTTCTGCCACAACAACCCCGCCCCCTTAATAACAACCAATCACATTCACTTTATTCACTCGTGTAAAGTCGGGAACCACTGGGAGAATTTGGAAATGCAACAATTGGAACAGCCGCTTCCCTACGACTTTACAACGGATTTGGTTTTAGGACAACTCCTGTTTTATTTATTTTAACCTTTGTTGTGTTTTAACTTTTTGTCCCAAAAGTTTTTTTTCGGAATGACCATGACCTGGATGACTGAGAATCTTCACCAGCTTTTTGACATTTTTATTTTTGTTGGTCCCTCTGGGCCACCATATCAATTATTTGAAAACTTGTTTTTTTTAACACATTTTTTTTCCAATTTCCTTTTTTGTAACATTCTTTGTTTTTAATAATATTGGAACAAATTTCTCTCCATATTCATGCTCTCCCTGTGCAATTAGTTGAACTTGTGCCGTTTTCTTCTACATTTCCTATTTTATTCCAGGGCTATCAGAATAATAAAAGATTATTAGCATTTGTTAAGAACATATATTTTCCCCACGGTGCTGAAAGAATATAAAAAGGTCTGAGGGGTGTGAATACTTTTCCTCACCTTAACGCTGCGGAACAGGTCCTTCTCTCTGGCCGAGGCGTCTTTAGCTTTAATAAAGCTGAGCAGCGCAGTTCGAGCAGCTTGTTGAAACAACAGAGGAATTCATGTGAGTTTTTTTAGTAGAGAGACGCAGTAAAACCTTCGGATCCTTCATTTCTACCTTTTCCTTTCTTCTGAGAACCCGGGGTCAGCTTCACCTTGTGTCTGAGGAACACAGAGGGACGGTTAGACTGATGCTGGGGGGGTTCTGTGTTTGGGAGGGAGGGCTGCAGACGTACTTGTAGCTGGACAGGGCCGTGTAGGGAGCGCAGACCGGGACGGCGAACAGCAGCACGTCTTCAGGGTGAGGCTGGCCGCTCAGAGACGTCAGCAGGTTCTCTGCTTCCTGTTTCACATATAAACCGGGATGAAGCTCTTCCCAACAACCTAATCTCCTGTTTGAAGTGTTGGTGTCAGGAAGCCCACCTCTGCTCCGGGGTTATCCGGATCCACATCGTCTTCCTGCAGGAAATGAAACCACATATGAGTGAAGGAAACCAACAGCTCACCTGGATTTGTTTTCCTTCTGTTCCTCAGTTGGACTCCTCCAAACATCCATCCTGTGATGTTTCTACCTTCTCCTCCTGCTGATCTCCAGATGGCTTCTCCTTCCCCTCCTCCTCCTCTTCCTCTCCTGCCGGTCCCTCCGGTTTCCTCTCGCCGGGCGCCGCATCTGGACGTTTCTGCTGCTGTTTCTGTGAAACGGGCTTCCTCACCAGCTCCTCTTTTCCTTTCCCTTTCTTCCCTTTCTTGCCTTTTTCCTTTTCCTCCTTGGTGGATCTGGCTGACTGAAAGGCAGAAAAGTGACGGAGGTGTTTTTACTGCCGACCGAGGAGCGGGAGAAAAAGCGGGGTCTTCCTCACCCCAAGCAGCTGCATCATCAGCTCCCTGTCCTCTTCATCCTGGTCCTTGTACTTCTCTTTGATCTTCTTCAGTTTGTTCTGTCCAAACCACAGGAAAAGTTCTGTTATCATCCATAAAACACATCCGGAGCGGTTCTGGTTGCTTCTCTTACCTTCTGGCCTCTCTTTAGAGGTTGCTGAGAAGGTCCTCCTCCATTTTTAGACCCCGGACCGACAGCTGGAGTCTCTGTCTTCTCCTCGGTGTCGGAGCCCTCCAGTTTCTGCTTCTTCTTCTTCTCTTCTCTAAAAAAGGAGAGGCAAATAAATAAATCTGACCATCAGAGAAATTGTTTGAATGCGCTGAGAAATTCAAAGGTCGGAGGTCAGAAATACACAGATACATGATGAAGTTTTCAGTTTGTCATTTTCCCTCCGGTTTCTAACTTTGTGTCACGGTTTGTGGCTGTAAAGTCATTAGAATGGAGGTTTGAAGATTTTCATAGACTCGATTCCAAATGGCAGAAAAACCAGTAAAAACCCGGAAAAAAATGGTCTTTTAGTGGCAGCGGGAACAGCTCACTGACACGTATCTACCTGGCTCAAACGACTCGGTTAAAAATCACCTCGGCTCTGATCGGCAATGGCGTAAATATCCGTAAGCAGAGAGAGCATTTGCTTACGAGCCCACGACCTCTTAGGGGCCCCATCACTGACACCTGGTGGCCCCCTATGCCATTATAGATTAGGACGTCTCTTTGCAGATGTAATGGTGTGAAACATTCTTCTTAAACCCTCCTGATGCTAAAGTGACTGACTGAACCGTATTTATACAGCAACACATGGCAGATTTCAACATGATGGTGAGACGTTTAAACACGACACCAATAGAAATAATAATACACTCATAATATATTTCAAACCGCAATAAAGATCTTAAAAGAACCATGTATTTGAGTATTTTATTTTTTACACTATGACTTGGAATTATGGGTAACCCAGAGCGTAGATTAAAACCATAACTGCTACGTAAAATGTGTTAGCGACGATGGATACAAAAAGAGGTACTTATAAGTAGAAGTGATGGCAGCCTATGTGTGATTCTGTAAATAATCCTGTGTTTAACTTTTAGGTAACAAGACGACGTTGGTTTGATGATTTGCTTCCACTTCTGATTCATAAGCAATTAGACCAATGCCTCCAGGTTATTCTGAACAGCCCCGGCGTTACGCCTCTAACAGCTATAAGATGCCTTAACCCCCAAAATCAGTCCCGATTAAAGATTTTCATAAATAAAAAATAAAAAAACAGTCAGATGTGTTTCTTCTGTATTCCATGCAATCCAGTCATCCACCAATACCTGACAATGATGAAAAAAAGGAAACTAAAAAACGGATTATTTGCGGTTGTGCAGTTGCGGTACCACGACTGCACAACTACGGACGACTCAGGCAATTATCTTATGATCACGAGAAAACAATTCATGGTTTAACCGTGATAACGAGATAGATATGTCGTTATCTTGAGAAAGCAAAGGGGGGAAAAAAAGTGGAGTACGGCTGCTCTAGGCTTCCGTAGTTTAGCCTATAGTGTCGCTATCAGAACTTTTGGTCACATTATGATCCGTTTATCCAAAATGTTTATCTAACTAATAGAGCTATTAAAATGATGGTCAGAAATGAAGAACATACAAACATAGCATAAGCTTCTTATAAAGTTATTTCACAATAAAATGTGAAGCTGTGAAAATGGCTGCCTTCCAGGATTTTAAGGTATTACTTTCATTTAAATGTAGCTTCAGGTGTTTTTGTTTCAGATTGCAGGTTGCTGACCAGTAGGTTCACTCTGACAGAAAACGGAGACAGCACGGCTTCTTTCACGAACCTCACTTCTAGAGATTTGGATGATTAATTAGTAAAAGGCAGTAAACTTTTAGAAGAGGTTGATTGAACCTTTCTGATCCCGGAAGAAAAGATTGTAAGGCGTCACGGACTGATGCAGGCTCTAATACGGAGAAAAAAACATTCAAATAAAGAGGAGTTGAAAACATCGGTTTTATTCTCACCTTCTCTGTTTGGCACTCATGTGTTTCTTTGCTTGTGAATCCATCTCAGCCTGAAGAAATAAAATATTCACAATGAAAAAATGACCTTATATAAATTAAATAACATGGATAAAGATGTGGGTAATTACCTGAGTAGAGGTTTCTTTTTTAAACCCAGGATTGGGAGCAGTCCTAGAATCAAAGCAGCAGGTTTAGATTCCTCATGGTGCAGAGGAGGAAGAGGAGGAGGAGGAGGAAGTATCCATACGACGTTACCTGTTTGGCTGTAAGTGAGGGAGTGAGATGGTGGTGTCCGGAAAGCTGAACTCGTCGCTCTTTGCCTCGTCTTCCACGCCGCTGTCTCCATCGTTACCGTCCTCCATGCTGCTCGGCTCCGCCGCCGTCCCGCCGCCGTCCGTCTCTGCAGCGCTTCCCGTTTTACCTTCATCGTCGTCCTCTTTGGTCTCTCCTGCTTTCCCTTCGCCTTGATCTTCATTACTGCTGTCGTCTCCTGTGAAATCCAACGAAAATTTAGACATTTCACATTTAAGCACTTAAAGTATTCACTCCCTAAAAGTTTTGTTCGGTTTTTAGTCACACTTCAGTCGCTTAGCAACCATGACAGCTTGAGGCCTAGATCTATGAAGCCACAATATTTCATTTTAATATCCTTTATCTTGATCTTTATAAACATATAATTAATCAAAAGAAAACACAAATATTTGAAATTTATAGAACTAGAACATATGTTGGCTGGTGAAAGCTAAGTGATTCTAATGTATCAAATTTGAAAAGTTTATGTAGGATTTAAAGAGTTTTGGTTTCCATAAGAAACTAAATCTACCAATAAAGCTAATATTTCTTAGCAGTGTTTTTAAAAACAGGTTTCTTTTACATTTTACGTCACTTTGGGGAGTCAACAGTTGGCGCTGCTTCAGCTCTCTGTGGACAGTAGGTAGTTATCTGGTAGAGTGACATGTGACTGAGTTTGTCGATCAGAAACATGGTTAAATATCGCGTTAGTAGGAGCATCACAGACTCTGCAGAAATGAAAGACACTGAGATACCGCCGTGGTTCCAGTCCTGAAGCAAACCTTCAGGAACAGACGACTCAGTAGAGGAGATCCCAGATGCAGACATTGCCCCAGCAGCAGCTGGTGTTTCTCACTGCTTTCCACCCCAAATTTTCCCCGTCATGGTCTAGCTTGAAAAAGTTCAGTCTAGGCAACTGGACGTGAAAAGTGACCTTTTTCAATCCACCCCAGATTTTGCTCTGTCTTTAAGTTTTAATAACAGATCACCGCCCAAAATCTCTTAGAATGGCGCCTGAGCTTCAGAAAAATAGCAGGATGCTGCATCCATGGCGGCAGAGGTGTCAAAGTAACCAGTATCAATCCTACAGTTTAAAAACACTTTTGTAGAAGTTAGAGCATCAACTTCAGCTTTTTACTCCAGTAAAAATATAAAAGTACCATTTTTAAAACTACTGAAAGTATAAAAGTAAAAGTAATGCAGGGCAAATGTTAAGGACAGAAGCTTTACTGCTCTACCCTATTGAAGAAACATTTTTCTACAATTCTGGATTCAAATTTCCTTAGACTTCATTTTCTTAGTTTTATAGCTAAAGATTGCCTCATCTTGAAAAACTATTGTATTTGGTAAGTGGTGAACAACAAGTTGGGGCAGCACCGAGTCCAACGGCAAAGAA